AAAAAAAAGCATATAAAATATAGCAAATGCTGTATGAACCTACATTTAAAAAAATCCACCTGTATGCATTTTAAAAGATGGGAAGGAAATACAGCAGAATGTCAACAATGAACTCTGGGCTGTTTGGTAATGGGTGATTTTAGTTCATTCTATTATTATCTTCCTGCCTCGTTTACAAAACTTTTACAGAAAACATACATACTTTTATATTAGAAAAACAAAAAGTCTTATTTAAGAACAGTGCCTCCCCCAAGTGGAAGTTAACCTCTCTTTTTCTCTCTGGCTTTCCCTCTCTTCTCATTGATTGGGTTGATTTCCAATCACAACCGCCTGTTCTGCATTGTACTGATGTGGCCATGTTTCTATCTTCCTTGGTTGATTATGAGGCCCGAGGCTGTACATTCCTCACAATCCCTAGAAACTTACGTTTATCACCTGATAATATTTATTTACTTGAAGAATTAAATCGAGTTATTTCCTTTCTTCTCGCACTGCCTTGTATGCATGTAGAAACAGAAAAATTGCCATGTGGTTAAGATTTGTTCATTAACAAACCACAGAATGAATCACTATATGTTTACTATTGGTGATTAGGATTTCCATATTGAATTTAGTCTTATGTTTATATCTGAATGTATTTTCTCCAAAAAACTAAAATGAGTATGAAAATTCGTATTTTGATGATTTATAAAATGTACATTTCACCTGTTCTCTTTCTATGGCCCTCCCCCAGCTTCTTCTTTAGACTGTACTCTGTCCAATGTTTTAATCAATGGAAACCTCGGTTTATTCATCAGATATACTCAACAGAAAAAAGTTGGCCTAGATACCATAAGAACGAAATGCACAAGCTAATTTTTGATAGGGTAATCTGAAAACAGGAAATTTGAAGTGAAATATTTATTCATGAAGAGGTTTTTTTCTTAATTTTTAGAAAGAGAGAACCTGCTTGCATTATGCCGTGAAGAAAAAATTTACCTTCTTTGATTATCTACTCATTATCCTCCTAATGCCTGTCCTGCTCATTGGATATTTCCTCATGGTGAGTACACTTGTGAGAGCAAAGGGTAGGAGAGCAAAGAGTAGGAGATCAGTAGCATGACCCATCAAGGTTTGCTGGGCCAGTGAGAGGTAAAGGAATAGTAACAGAATAAGCTCTTGGCTTGTATTCTGTAAGTGACATTTCCAACATACATACGATGCTGTGATTAAAGAATAAAGCAAGAGGGAAGGTAGCCAAATCAATCAATCAATCAATAGTACATGGGCACATAGGGGGTATTGAGATTAAAATGAAGCCTATTAATTGAAATAATCCAGACATAAGACAAAGGAAAAGTTTGTAAACAAACTTCTTGTACTTGCCATTTGTCACAGGTCTCCAAGACAAAGCAGAATGAGACTCTTGTCCGAATGCTCCTTGATGCTGGCGTGGACATTAATGCTGCAGACTGTGTAAGTTCGTACTTTTAGTCACTGTGAAATAATATCCAAAGTGGTATTTGTAGGTATGTACTTGTCATATATAAAGTTGCTCGCTTTATTTTCCTTGACACTTTTGCATTTCTTTTTTCACTGCCAATTAGGTGAGCTTGAGGTTGTTTATATACGGCCACTAAACTCGCGGGAATAACATCTTTATTGAATACAGAACATTAAAAAAAAAAACACTGCTCCACCATTTGTGAGAAGTTAAGGAAGATGAAGGCTCTGATAACAAAATTCTTCCTTGGTAGTTAAGGGGCTGGAGTCAGAATGCCTTCGGGTAAACCCAGGCTTGCCACTTTTTACCTGTGTGCATTTTGGCAAGTTATAAACTTCCTCGTCTTTCTGTTTCCTACTCTGTAACATGAGCATATTGATAAGTTACAGGGCTGAT